AAAGAAATTGAATGTTTTGGCTTCGGAATTAGATCGGAAAGGATCTACAGTGATCTTCAGCCCGGGATTTTCTTGACTAAGGAAATTCGCAAGGGTATAACTAGTTTAATTATAACGGTTTCGCATATGAACATGCCAAAAATAGTAGTGATATACGATATTTCGTCAAATAATAAAAGTTACGTATAACGTTTCACAACATTTAAAATTGGTTATATACGTACTGTACGTACGTATCAAATGTGAATCCGTTACATTTTAATTTTATTTTCGTAATTGATTCATTATTTTCTCTAATTTAAAAAATGAGTCTTAGGACACTTTTTACAAAAAATCAATTACCTTTTACACTTAATTATAAGAGGAATCCTCTTATTTTTACTCAATGGAATAAATTTTACAGCACAAGTGCCGTATGTTTAGATCGAATCCATGAACCCACCTCTAGTGGACCTCTATCTGGAATTAGGGTTGTGGATCTTACACGTGTATTAGGTGTGAATTTACAGATATTGAAATGTTTAGTTCAATGATAAAATCTAACCTTCGTTTTTTTTTTAATATTAGCTGGACCTTATTGCACCATGATACTGGGAGATTTGGGGTAATTTATAACAAATTTAAAATCTCTTTGCATACATAATGGCATCAGAATCAGTGTTGTTCCGGACACCTGTCCATGTCCATATTCATGTCCATGTCTGGAGCAACACTGATCAAAATGACATTAATAATAAAAGTTTTTAAAAATATATACGTTTAATCATCTTAGTAATTGTAAATATTATTTATTATATAATTTAGCGCTGAAGTAATAAAGATTGAAAATCCTAAAGTTGGTGATGATACTCGTACATGGGGACCACCTTGGGCAACAAATAAAGATTCCAAAGATCTTTCAACACCAGAAAGTGCATACTTTTTGTCAGTTAATAGAAACAAGAAATCTATTACTGTAAATTTAAAATCACCAGATGGAATATATATAATTAAAGAATTGATTAAGAAGAGTGACATATTAGTGGAAAATTATATTCCTGGGAAGTTGGATAAGATGGGATTAGGTTTCGATGAATTGAATAAAATTAATCCGCAGCTAATTTACGCTTCAATAACTGGTAAAACTTTTTTCTTATTACCAACTTGAATAAAATTTATTATACTTTCTTTTACATATTAATATTAAAAGTTTAAAACAAAATGCTATAAAAGGCTATGGTCAAACAGGCCCTTATTCAAAGCATGCTGGATATGATGTAGTAATAGAGGTGGGCGACATCTAATTTCTCTAATTATTTGTTCTATTGAATAATCAATATTTTTTAGGCAGAGGCAGGTTTAATGTATATTACAGGTGAAGAGGACAGACCACCTGCAAAGGTCGGTGTAGCTATAACAGGTATCTATAGTAATATATTTCTTGAATTTTGTATTAAGATTACCGCATTATCAAGATTATGAAACTAATTATCTAAATTTTTAATTTATTAAGATTTAACAACAGGTATGTTATGCTAAAATCTTTTTAAAACCAGTTTAAATTAAATTGATTCTTATATTCATTATAATGATGATAAAGGACTCTATACACATGGAGCGATTATGGCAGCACTTTTATCAAGAAGTAAAACAAATCTTGGTCAAAGAATAGATTGTTCACTTATTGAATCTCAAGTTGCATCATTAGTGAATATTGCTAGCAATTATCTCATTTCTAATCAAGAAGCTAAACGAATGGGTACATCACATCCATCTATTGTTCCATATCAAGTATTTCCAACAAAAAATGGTTTTATTATGATTGGAGCTGGAAATGATAAACAATTTAAAATTTTGTGTCATACAATTGACAAAGTTGAATTCTTGAATGATTCAAGATTTACTACAAATTCTGATCGTGTACTTCATCGTAAAGAATTAATTTCACTTTTAGAACAAAGATTCAAGGATGAAACTACAGAGCATTGGTTATCATTATTGTTTGATAAAGAAATTCCTTTTGCACCAATTAATAATATTCAACAAACTTTTGAACATCCTCAAATTCTTGCACGTGAAATGATACAGGAAGTTGATCATCCTAAAGCTGGCAAGATCAAATTAACAGGTTAGATACTTGTAATAATTATTTTATTTTGCAATATTTATTTATCCTTATTTTATTCTTTAGGTATTCCTGTTAAGTATAGTAGAGAAAAATTAAAAGTAAGATTACCACCTCCGACACTTGGGCAACATACTCATGAAATTTTATCAAATTTATTACATTATACTAATCATAAAATAGATGATTTAAAAGCAAATGGTGTTATTTAGATATTTGAAATATTACTAATTTTATATCTTAAAAATAAAAAAAGTAAAAATGAAAGTGCTTACTAAGTAAAATTTTTAGATAGGTGTCGAATTTATATTATAATCAAAGACGTAATTTTGATTTTAGGATGTGTGTATTATATTTGGGCTGAAAGAAAATTGACAGTAATTGTCCGGAGCGTAGCGGAGGACTCTTAATTTCTATGCAAAGTGATATCAAATTTTCCTAGTTTATATGATTTAATCAAGATGATATGGCACAAATTTGTAATAAACTTAATGTGCATTGCTATTAATTATATTTTTTTTCTTATACGGATTATCTTAATTATTAACATATTGGATTATCTAAAGTATTTTTTTATTGCTATCGAAATTTTTAGTTTCCTCAGGAATGACAAAACTGTTACAATTAAAATTTATCCTAACATATTTCAATTCATCATTTAAGACACCCGAGACTCGAGAATGTAAGTTTGTTAAATGTCCAATAAATTTATTTCTATGATTCGAATATTTGAAAATTGAAATTAGTAAATACTGTATAGACAATTGGATAAATCTATTTACGACAGATCGTTATGATAAGAAGAAAAATAAAGGGGAAATTACATATCGGGGCCCAAATTTGAAAATAATTATGAATGAGGGCCTAATTTAAAAATATTTATTTATAAGGGCCTAATTTTTGAAAAAATTACAAATAAGGGCCCAAGTAATTTTGCGTCGTACGA